CATGGATGCTTCTGGAAGATCAACAGGGCCTCGTTCAAGGAGGAGACTGCTGACTTCCAGGCAGTGTCCAGCAATTGCAAGAGCCTCAGCACCCCAGAGTCAGCACTGTGGGCACACAGGTATAGTCAGAGGTGGGGCTGTAGGGCGAGTGACGACATCCTGAGATACCGCCCTCACTGTTTACATCAATGAGAGTTGAGCGTGGTGGGGGGAGAGGGTTGTTCCCAGAGAAGAGGGACCCAATGGATTCAGCCAACAGAACTCACATAATAAAACATGTTAGACACTCTGTTCAGAATGGTTTTTGTCTCAACAGTTGCTTCTCACTTGTGTCAAAGCGGCTGATGTAGAAGAGAACCTGTCTCTTATTCACAGAGATAACAAAATCCTCTATGTAAAAGCTGACCCACCGACTCTTCTAACTGGCCTGTCAGTTAATTTAGCAAGGTAACCGGAAATAAGATCAATCTATCTAGTAATTTCCCATGGACTGGAAATACAGTGTCACAAACTAGAAATTTAAGATGCCTTTTGTAATAGCCGGATAATCCTCCCCCAACCCTGCCTGTGGGGTTTGGAGCCACACATCATATAATCCAGCTTTTGTGTGGGTCCTGGGACTCATATAAAACAAAAATAAATCTTTTTTAAAAAGTTAAAAAAAACAACTGCAATAAGACTTTAAAAAGACTACAGTGTAGAATGAGTACATTAAAAAAATATTTTTGCTAGCTATTATAATTCTGGCAGTCACCGTCTCTATAGAAAAGGTGGGCAGATTTGAAATCCTTGCCATTGTAGGCGAGAAGTTCATTTAAACACTTTGCCCAGAGGTAACCTAATGAGCTTGTGTTATGAAAGTCACATGTGCTGTAGGATTTCCACCTCTTATAGGCTAGTCTGACTGCCAGGGCAGGCTTTACGAGAAGTCCCAGGGACACCACCCCTTCTGGGTGGAAGCTGGTATATCAGACTCCCTAGCTTCCCAGCACTCAGGCGGAACTGGTGTGTTTTACACAGGCTTTTGTTTTCCTGGTATAGGTGACTCTAGTTGCCCACAGGGCAAGCTGACTGAGCGTTCACTAGTGACCGTCATTACTCCCCACTTTCCTCGTGGTGTTTCCTTTACCTCCTAATAAAGGTAAAGGAACCTGGCACTCAGGTCCTTAGCCCAGGGTTGGGGTTGGCTTCTAGGAAAGGACATACAAAGATGAGCATTGATAGTTTTTCTGACATCCCAGTGGGTCATCTAGTTCACACCCTGGTTTGGGCACCTCAGGTTGGAGGCCACTCACTCTTCTATTCCCTGGCATTAGTTGCACCTATGTCTGTTTGTAAAAGGTTCCTTTGGGTGTGAAGCTGGTGGGAAGCTTCTTGTGCCTTTTGCCTTCCACCTGGACAGGGCCTTGAGCAAACGCTGAGTGATGAGGTATGTAACCTGGACCCTTCTGAGGCCTCCAGCAACACAGAGAGGACAGCTTGGAGGTGACCATCAGGCTGGATCCTGGCTTTGCCCACTGAACTCCAAACAGCTCCATGTTGATTATATGCTGACCTTTTCCTAAATGATTTGTTTTGGGAACAAAGAGCTTCATAGCCAGTGACACATAAACATAGAGTAGCCATCAATTCTAGTTGAATGAATGTCAGACACATAAATCTTACTCAAGTTGCATCAAGTTCTAGTATCTCTCTAATTGTCCAGCAATTTGCATCGCCTGGGTATGGAATTCTGCCAGGTTGTGGGAAGTCCTGAGCCGGGAGAAATTGCCCCTTTCAATCCATGCTATCAGACCCCACAGTGTGGACCACCCCTGATATGATGCTCACATGAAGGCAGTCCTAGTCCAAATCCTGGTGATGAGCTAGTGGGCTCAGTTTGGTAGGGCTGAGCATGACTTGTATGGCTGTGTGACACAGAAATTGATGTTCAGACTGGAGCACCTTCACGGAGGGTGTCCAGGACCTTTTCTCTACTAAACACAGAGCTGGGTTTGTCTTACCAACCGAGGGAGATAGTTGATCACTATGAACACCCTGCAGTGCTTTCTTGGGGAGTCCTCAGCACCACTGGGGCTGAAATCCAGGGCCTTGTTCATGCAAAGCCAATACTCTCCCTATTCTAGTTCTTGTTCCAACTTGACATGTGCTAGAGTCATCTGAGAAGAGGGAACCTCAACTGAGGAAATGCCTCCGTAAGATCAGGCTGTAGCCAATTGCGTAGGCATTTTCATAATTAGTGATCGATGTGGGAGGGCCCAGCCCATTGTGGGTGGTGCCACCCTGGTAGTCCTGAGTTCTATAAGAAAGCAGGCTGAATCCGGGTGTGGTGGCACATGCCTTTAATCACAGTGCTTGGGTGGTAGAGACAGATGGATCTCTATGAGTTTGAGGCCAGTCTGGTATACAGAGTGAGTTTCTGGACAACTAGGGATGAAAGAGAGAACCTCTCATTAAAAAGAAAAAATCAGGCTGAGTAAGCCAGTAAGCAGCACTCACTCTTCCATGGTTTCTGCATCAGCTCCTGCCTGCAGAGTCCTGCTCTGCTTGAGTTCCTGTCCTGGCTGCTTTAGATGATGAACTGAAAGTGTGAATGAAATAAAATCTTTCCTCCCCAAGTTTCACTACCACTAAACTATATCGTCAGTTCCAAGACAAAACAGTCTTGTTATGTTGCTCAGGGTGGCCTCAAACCCATGTGCTTGAGTGAGAGTCCTCTTTGGTATCCTGAGAGTAGTCAGGACCATCGGCATGCACCGCCATGCCTTGGGCCCCTTTCATTCAGAGTTTGGATCTTTGGTCCTCATCACTGTGAACTTCTTAGTAACTGTCCAAGCCTGAGCAAGCCTGGCTCCTGCTGTAGTTCTTTACTCTGAAGGGACTGTATCCAGCTTGGCTGTGGGAGTCCCTCCTCTTCCACTTATCTGTCGTTCAGCCCTTATTGGTCCACTCTCTTCCTAGACCCCTGCAGACTCATCTGGAGAAAGGGGTTTCAATCAAACTGAGGACAGATGGGGTGTAGAGTGCTGGGGGCTTACAAGGATGCAGATCAGACCTTTAAGAGGGGCTGTCCTGGACCTAGGGGCGAGGGGCCACCTCCTGCTGACCTTGAAGTCAGGTGTGTGCTGAAGATGTCTGATACACCATATGTTAGTTAATGTTCGACAGTTGGCTCTCAGAACAAAATGGGATTATGTGCCCGTGACTGTTAATTTCATGTGGTACCTAGGCATTTGAGTAAGCGTTACCTGGTCATTTACAAGGGTATTTCTGAGAGAGACAAGGCAATCCTGTCTTATTTAATGTGGGTAGATGGGTCTTGGCCAGTCAGCAGAAGCCTTGAGTGTTGTAGACTGAGTGAGGACACTCCTCTTGCCCAGTGGCTGGAGCAGGGACATCCACCATCTTTTCCCACCTTTGTGTTAGAATGGAAGCATTAGTTTCTTCCATCAGGCTGTTGTTATCTTTCAACCAAAACTGTTATCACTCTTCCGGGAGAGATGCAAAGAAACGCCAATTTGCTACAGGTAAAACATCAACAGACCAAACAAACTATCCTACTCAAGCTTATTAGGGTTCCTACCAGGAGCATAGGTACAGGGTTACTTAATAGGAGGAGAGTGACTTAAAGGCAGCAATATCACAGAAAAGTCCCATGCCAACATGGGAACTCTGAAAAGCTGACTGACTGACACTCCCCTGTCAACCTTCCATCTTAGTATTCCTCTTCCCACAGGAAGCTGGGAGGAGACGTGTGGGGTGGTGCCTGGAATCACAGGTTAGGTTCTGATGATAACTGCCTCTTTCTTCAAGGGAATGCTAATAGGCTTGATCTTGACAAGGTCTCTCGCAGGTAACCACAGATGATCTGATGTTATGACAGTCAAGGTCAAGTCATGGCCTGAAGACAGATTTCAAAACAAGCCATACCACTAGCTCTCCTGGGTCTCTACATCTAGGGCCTCCACAGCCTTCTGAGCCAACACCTTAGAATGAGCATCTCTCTCTTTCTCTCATGCTCTCTCTCTCTCTCTTTCTCTGCTGTTCCTCTGACTACACAACCACCACAAGCAAGCTTGATTTTCAGAGCTTTCCAGGTTCCACGGTGGAATGAGTGACTAGGCTACCCATGCCACTGAGCTAGTGGTCCAAGTGTCAGATATGACAATGGCTTTTGTATTGCCCCAGCCTGCCACTGTCCCCTCTCCTGACACTGTTCATACTCCTTCCTCAGAAGAGTCAGATTTGATTTGTGGGGTTCCTAGGAGTTCCAAGGTCATGCACATGAGGTCTCCCACTTTTGGCTTCCAGGAGGTCAGCAGAGAACAGCTGCTGGCCTGAATGTCTTCCTCTGACACACTCCAACATGTGGCCTACTTGACAGCATGATAAGGTCCCTTGCTTCTTCTCTGGCTGCCTCTTCCAGGTCCCAGTGTATGGTTCTTGGCCTCAGGCCCAGAACTAGAACTGGGGCATGAGAAGAGGCAACCCTGGCCAGAATGACCACCTAGAGTCCTGGTCCAACTTACTAGCGAGCTCTGACCCCAGCTGTCATACATAGTATCTGCCTAGACAGGAAATTAAAAAAAAGTCTTCCTTGGATCAGAGTGATGGGCAGAGCAGGATTCAGCTGGTTTGAGTGCTGTGTCCCCACAGAGAATGTGACTCTCCGACTGCCAGTGGCGTCCTCAGCCAAGTTCTACAATGCCTCCCTGACTAGGCCAAGGCCTTTCTTAGCTGCTGGGATGGTGCAGGCTCCTGAGAGACTCTGATGTGACTAGACAACTTGCACCTTGTCAGCCTCCATGCAACTCACCTTTATCTGTGGATTACCTCAGGCATTTTGTCACAGTGAAGGAAAGCTGACCAGCAGAAGGAACAGTAAAGCTTCAAAATAAAACCTGTAAACTGGAGGAGGGATTTCCTAACGGGTTCCTTGACGAGAGCTTCAGAATGAAGTTCACCCATCACACATGTTCTAGTAAAATGCCCACTGTATGTACATTGGTGCAAAACTTTATTGAGTTAAAACTTGACTCTCCTGACTCTGGACATTTAAGCTTCACAGCCCTGGAGGCAGTTGGGGTGAGCCAAACTGTGCAAACAATTGTCACACATCCACCGGGGCTCAATGGTAACAAAAGTTCATCACTTGCTTCAGTGACAGTCTGGAGCTGGTGGGCAGTTCCCCAGTGATGCAGAGACCCTCCTCTTTCCAGCTGAGGCCTTCCTGACCCCTGCCCTTTTGGCATTTGCATCCAGCTACTGTGGGGGAATAGCCAGACCTGATGGACTTCTGTTCTTGAGGATACAGCTGGCTGCAAGGAAGGCTGGGGAGGGTAGCATTCCGCTTTGCTGGACAGGGAGTGGTTTCCTCCTGTTTTTAGATGAGAAGTCTATATAGGAGCAATTAGCTTGTCAAAATTAGTTGGTCACAACCAAATGACAAAGCCAGGACAGCAGCCAGACCTCCTGCTGACATGTCTGGTACCTGAGGACAGTGCCCACCCAACCTGGCATCCTCTGTCTAGGACTCTTGCCACGACTTCTTCATTGGAACGACAGTGATACATTTGTTAGCTGCGTCCCCTGCCTGCATGTGTTCTCTTAGCTCATGTCTGTAGGTGTTTGCGTGCAGACAGGACATCAGAGCTGAGTGGCACTACCTGCTGCTGAGTCCTGGTCTGACTCCATACTGTGGTCTTCTGAGCAAAAAATGACAAAGACTAGCTTCCAGGCCATACTTTATTTTTACAGAAGTGGTGGCCCTACAGCCACAGGGACATGTGTTCTGGAGAGTAGGCACAGTGCCTGAGGCTGCGAGAGCCTGATAAGGGGGATTCATGCCTTCTCCTTAGTCCCCATGACCAAATTAAAAAAAAATAAAACACACACACAACACACTGCCACACCCATCCCCATCCCCCTCTCCTCCCTTCCAGTAACAGCCAATTCAGCTTTCTAGCCAGACAGTGGCTACAACTCTTGATTTTCCAGAAAACTTTCATGCAGCCAAGAAACCAGAGCCATGGAGGGGAGAGGCTTGCTTTGACTTTCCACATGCACTGTCCTGCAGCAACAAGCCACTGCATGGCTGGCTGATGACAGGACTAGCTATGTGGAAATGTGGGGACCCAGCTCACCATGCGTGGAAGACGGCCACTTTTCAGGCAAGACATTGGAGCCAAACACTAACCTGAGGCTAATGTGATTCAAAATCCCTTCCCTTCCCAGGTCCTGGGGAGTTTCTGTGGAGGGCTGGATTTTGGTTATTTAGAGTGACACACTCTGGCGTCACTGCCACAGTCCCAGTGGCTTTGGGATGGAGGCTTGACTGGTGGAATGATGGTGTGTCAGTTATCACACTAACTAACCTAGCTCGCATTGACCATTCATCTGCAGCAAGCAGAGTCATCAGTCGGCGAGGACAAGGATGCACACGGACCACCAGGATAGCCCATGTCAAGGATTCATGCTGTATAGGCAGCAAAGTGGAGACTACTTCCTTCAGAGGCCAAATGGGTGAGGTGGTTTCTCTGCCTTCCAAATGCTACAAGTGCAACAGCCTTCACTGTATCACAGTGTTACTGTGCAGCATGTCAAGCCCTCAGCGGCATCGGTGAGCATCCTTCAATTAAAAGTATGACTCTAAGGGTTCCAGCACCTGCCAGACAGATGAAAATGACATGGGAGCTGGCTTGGTGGTGGGAGGAAGGACTTTAGATGATGGACAGTCCCTAACTGTCACCTGGATCGTTTATGTTCCCCCAACTTCTAACACTAGGCTTTCTACTGTCTAACACAGAAAGGCTTCAGGAGCTCTTACATTTCAATGTGACATGAGAAAACTGCAGCTTAGTGGGGACTGTGACCAGCTCAGCTCTTGAATTCTGGCTTCTCCTCCAGGACTTGATTCCCCCTCGGACTCTGGGTTTTCAGCTGGGCCAGGCAGTTCTGAAGGTGGGGCTGTACAACCAACCACGCTTCACTAACAAGGCAGAAGGACCTTGGAGGCCCCTCCCTCTGGAACGGAAATGGAGCTAACTTTCTCTGAGCTTAGGATTTGTAAGGCACTGAAATTAACTAGAGCTGGGGGGCGGGGGAACAAAATGGGGGGAATGAGTGACCCTGGATGCTTTCCTTCCAACCCCAGGGAGGGTCCTCACAGTAGCACAGGGCGGAATACCCCTTTCTCACTCAGCGTGGGAACCACCCCTATGTGACACAGTCATGAGCATGTGCCCCTGTTGTGACTCAGGGGATTCTAGCGGAGGTTCAGATGGTGGGAGTCAAGAAAGAAAAGCCCAGGAAGGCCAGGCTTCCCATCTTGAGATGTCTTTTCCAGACCTGAGTGGGCTCAGTGATGGCTGGGGTAGCCCTCGGGCCTAAGCACACAGGAAGAAGGGGCAGGATGGCCCAAAGATGGCAGAGAGAACTTTGGACTGGACCTGGCTTTGGCACAGCACATCCTGGGCCTGCCTGCCCGTCATGTGGTCCCCGCAGAGGTCCAGGGGAAGGAGGAACCTCCTTTGCCCCCATGAAGGGCTCTTGTGGCTGATGCAGGCAATGCAGGTGCAACTTCAAGGCACCGCCTTCATCATGCCAGCCAAACCTGTGCACAGGTGACATGTGAGGTGTCTTCCTGGACTCAGTGCTGAATCCAAAGCATGAGTCAGGTGTGAGGTTGAATGGGAAGCAGTGGTAGTGGCTTCCACTCGGGGAGCTCCTCCCACACAACCGGCCTTTTATGGAGATGACATCCCACAGGTAGGTATTACCTCCTTCCACAGATGAACACGGGCACAGAGGGGCCAAGTGACTAGCCCAGAGTCAGAGTTGCACGGCTAATGAGTGACTAATCTGGGACTGGGACTTAGGACTGTCCGACTCCAAATCCCATGTGCTTCCACTTGCCTGAGCTGCCCTGGAGGCCATCAGGCTGCCTCGGGAATTTCTGGAGGGGTTTCTTTCTGAAATCTGGGAAAGCAGAGAAGCTGGAGCGAGGGAGAGCAAGTCCATTCCCATGCATCTGGCTCCCCAGGTGCCCCGCTCAGTGCCTCGCTGCCTTGCAGATCTTGTCATACACCTCAGGGAAGGCGTCCTGGCAGCCGAGCTGCTTGCGCAGCTTGTGGTACAAGGAGCCATCAAACATCTCCCAGAACTCCTCGCGGTTCATATAGCAATCAGCATATAACATCTGGAACCTGCATGGGAGGGAAGGGGTGAGGGGGTGAGGATGGACAAGGTGGGTGAGAGGGTCCCTGTGTCCCCAAAACCCAGGCCACTCACCCGTGCACACTCCGCACGAACTTCTCCAGCTGCCTCATGCAGGACCTGGCCTCGAAGTGCTTCACACGTGGCTCTCCATACGCCCCGATGTCCACATAGAGCTCAGCCTCATCTCCCTTGGGGTGCACCAGTCCTGGTTGGCTGGGCAGGATGAATGGGCACAGCCAGATGGGGTAGACCTGAGGGGCCAGGGAAGTAGGTTGGTCTGCCCTTTCCCAGCAGGCAGCAGGCAGAGGCCTGTCCCACCCACATCCCATAAAAAGGAGACTTTGAGTTTGCAGCCCTCACTAGAGGCTCCCAGCTGCAGCTTCCCCTCCAGCCCTGCCAGGTCCTCCCATTCTACCTCACGGGGCCACTCTAAGCAGCCCATCAGGCACCATGGCCCCTTTTCTTTGCTGCCCTGGCTGAGTGGGCCAAGAGCCTCATTTTATAGTCGGAGAAACTGAGACCCAGAGGGCAGATACACAAGGGTGGGGACATAGCTCAAGGGAGAAGGTGTGGGTCCCATGGGCCCATGCCCGCCTGGCTACCCTGCTTACGTGGATGTCATTTTGGAAAGTGTGCAGGGCCTGGGGCAGGCATTTCATGGGCACTAGCATGTCCTGCACCACATGGTGCTGCTCGTACAGCTTGCGGAGAGTCTCGCCCTGAGTCAGCTTCAGGAGTGAGATCTTGGGGGGCACCATCCAGCCAAAGAGGTAGCGGAAGATGGGGTTGTTGCCAAAAGGGATGATATCCTAAAAGACAGAGTGGGATGGGAAGAAGGAGCCATGGTCAGATCCTCTATCCACTCAGGACAAGTACTCCAGGGTGCGAGCCCCTAGTGAAAGGTGGAGGGGACTTTTGCCAGGTGGATCTGGGTTTGAGCCTCATCTCACACATTTACCAACTATGGTGGCCTTGAGCTAGTTATATAACTTCTCCGAGCTCAGCTTCCTTATCTGTGAAAAGTGACATGTAAGGCAAATAGAGATATTGTGACTGGTGCCAGGAACACAATGATACCATGGCTACCATTCCTGTTCTCACTATTAAGGTCAGAGTGGTTGGCATCCTATAAGCATTTGCTAAATGAATGCTGTCCAGTGAGAAAAGGGATGCCTAGAGAGCTTGAGCAATATTTCTAAGGTCATGTAGCAAGGACAGCTCTCACCAGGTGGGTGGAGTCTAGCTCCACAAGGAGTCTGTTGGCTTTCACACAGCCAACCATTCATTCACTTGTTTCTCTTGGTCTCCCTGGAAACCCTGATGGGTAGATGCTGACTTTCCTCTCATGCCCCGGGTGCTGCTGCTTCCTCACCACGCCCTTCACTTAGCCATGCAGAGGACTCCCTAGCTCACAATAGTCCTCCTAGCGCTAGGCCTTGCCGCCTTCCTAAGTCACCAGTGTGCAGAGTACCACTGAGGCCAAGGTGGCTGTCAGAGACAAGACATTCCAGACACAGTTCCTGTCCTGAGATGCTCACTCTCTTGGGAGTGGTGGGAAGAGGACAGAACTGGGACAGAGAGTCAGAGACAGCTCCCAAAGGTCCCCTGGAATAGGAACCCAAAGCAGTAATACATGCCAACTGCTGAAGGCCCAGTATCACACTCACACATCCCTGGAGTCAGAGCTCTCCTACGAGGATGCTTATCTGCTGTCCAGTCTATGAGATCCACACAGCCTGAGTGAGGCCACAGAGTCAGCCACTGAGGCCACATCTGCTCATCTGTGTGTGTCTATGACCTCTGTCTGAATAGGAGGACAGGAGAGTACCTGGAGAGACTCAATATTCCCCCAACAGACCTCTTCAGCCCTTCCCACAGACTGTGTGTGGCACTTGACTCTGTTGCCCAGATGTAGAGCCATTTATTTAAGCAGGTCTATGTGGACAGGCATTTAGATCACTCAAAGATTATCAGTGAAGCTCCTTTGCATATGTATTTGCCCATCAATACACACATTTGCTGTTAGGTTACTGGACACGGACAACTCTAGATCAAAAAGCTGTGGGTATCTTTAAGGGATCCTACTTGCACCATCTTGTATTCTGAAACTAGAGGTGAACACGGCTCTTCGCATGCTCGCCAGCAATGTGTTCCCACACTTCCAGATCTCTGCAGTTTCCCTGACAGGCGATCAGTGAGACACAGTGAGATGCCTGTTTCTAGCTCTCAGGCAGACTATGTCACCATTTTCAGGGCCGCTGGTTTGTATGAGCCAAAACTGTCAGCTTCAGAAAGCTAATGTTTAAACATCACTCTTCCCTGCCTCTGTCACCCTCTTACAATCCATCCTCTGACCCCTTAGTTACCTGGGGTCCCATAGCCCTGGCTTCCAGCAACCTCCCTCAAGATGCTTCGTCCTCAGGCTCCTGTCACCTTGACTGTTGCCTGCAACTGGCCTGCTACTGGCTACCTCTACTCCGGTAACTGGCTGCAGGACCCTAGGGATGACCAAAGGTCCCAGTAGTTCCATTCTTGTTCATGTTTTAACCACTCCTCAGACACTGGCTAACAACTGCTATGAAAATGGCCACCCCAACGGAAGGATGACATAGTCCTGCCCTAGGTTCTCAGGCCTCTCTTACTTAACATAAAGACCAAGGTCAAAATAGAATGTCCATGTACCGAAAGTAAAATAGTCTTATATATTTATGTATGTATGTATGTATGTATGCATGCAAATATGCATGCCTGTGGAGGTCACATGACAACTCTGGGTGTTGCCCTTGCCTTCCACCTTGTCTGAGTTAAGTCTCTTTGGTTGTGTGCTATCCTGTGTGCCAGGCTAGCTGTCTTAAAAGCTTCTAGAAATCCTCCTGCTCCATCACCCATTAGCAGCTCTGTTTTATAGATGTGGGCCATCATGCCTAGCTTTAAGTGGGTTCTGGGGATTCAAAGCCAGGTCCCTACTCTTGAACAGCAAATGCTTTACCACAGAACTATCTTTCTAGATCAAAGTATTGTCAACACAGTGGGTCCCCCATGCTCCCAACCCCATTGTGGTAGGGATTGAATTTACAGCCTCAGGTGTGCTAGGCAAGCACTGAGCCCCAGTCCCAGCCCCGATCACTGGGCCCCAGCAAGTGCTCTTATACTTAAAAGATGAATGGTAAAATCCCATGCTAATAACTCAGAATGATTCTTTTACTTATTATGCAAATATTTATGACAGGACAAAAGGAAAAGGCTCTATATTTTAGTACTTTTAAGGGTACTCTAGATTTGCCTTGTGCACCAGGCTCCACAGGTTACCTAGCTGGCCCTGAACTTGGTGCTGCTTAGTGGGGGAGGAAGGAGGGAGAAGGGGAAGGAAGTGCTTGAACCAGCCAGGCTAGACCCAGTGAGGGGTGGACTGACTCATCGCCCAGAATGTAGGTTGACCAGGTTGTTCTTTCAAAGACTTTTTTTTCCTACAGGGATGAAGGTGGAGTGAAGGCAGCCAATGGGAAGGAAGGTGTATTGGTGGGAAAGCCTACGTGTTTCTTATCAGGAAGGTCTCAGCTTCTGAAACTTCTGTAACTCCGCCTAGCCGGGTGTTCCACCCACTTCCCCAGGGACTCACAAACTGGATTCCACCTCAGAAACCACCTTTGGCAGAAGGGAGTTGCCTCACACAGGCCAGGAGTCGAGGAAAGAGCCTGGTCTAGGGGCAGAGGTGTGGATAAAGTCCATTGACCTCAAAGGGAACAGCATTCTGAAGGCCATTTCTGCCTTCCTGTAATGCACAGCTGGGCTTTTGCGGTTGCCCAGTCCTGTTTCCCTATCGCCTTGAATTTCTAAGTCCCAAGAGTATATAAACTGCAGGTAAGCAAACACGGGCTTAAAACACCTGTTCTTCCAGTTCCTGCCTGTGAATGAAGGCAACTTAGGACAGTGTTTCCTCAGCCACACAACATGACAAACTTCATTTTGAGCACAGACTGTGAAGCAGTTAAAAATCTATCTACCTCCTTAGGAGATGGGACTCCTTGGCTGGGGTGGGGTTGACTAAATGACACAAGGTGCTAACACTTGGGACATGGTGGGAGTGGCTGGAAACCATGACAGGAAAAGACACACTGCACGGGGGAAGCCAATTGCTCTGCTGACAGGCAGCTCAAGCAGCCTGTGTGGCCTTGAGTAAGGGCTTCCTCCATCCATCACCCACCCCCTCACAATCATGGATGCCTCACTGCGACCCCCTCACCCCACTTTCACGGCACCCCTCAATGAGGCCTGGATTACTGCACTCACCCACATTCATGGTTCTCATCACTGCGTCCCCCTCACCCTCACAGACTCCCTCCTGGGTTCTCATTCACCCTTGTACATTGCAGCTCAATGTACTTCACCGAGTCTGGGACCACCGTCACCTTCATTTGCACTCCTATTTGGTGGTTTTAATACCCCAAAATATGATCTACCCACACTCTGGTACCCCAGCTCCCCCGCCCATTTGCCTTTATCTTCCAGCAGTCTTATCTTTCGCTGAGCTCATCTACTGCTCTCACGTCGTATCTCAGAACTGCTGACAACATTATCACCATGGCGATCTAATCTCTGAGCCAAACAGTTCCAGTGCATCTTTTCTCAGAGCCATCCATAACTCACTCACTCACTCACTCACTCACTCACTCACTGTGGAATGGATCACTGCGGTGCTCTGTTGCAGCAGAACTCAGTTGCTGGAGTGTAAGTATCATCTAGTTGGTCCTTTAAGAATGCTCCCCGAGCCCTCAGACGATCAGTGTTTACATCCATCTATTCCACAGTTCCTTCTGTTCAACCTCCCCTAGAGGTGGCCCACTCTACCAACCTGGCACCCACTGTCACAGTGTAAAAACCCACAGCCACATGCTGGCCTTGCTGTGAGTTCATGGTCCCCAGTCTCAGGAAGCTGAATCCCCTGGCCGTCCCAGTCAATGAACTTCCTATTCTGTAAGGGACAATTCACATATCCCCCTCTCAAGCTGTCACCACGCCCCAGCTGAAATTCCTACTTCTGATTTCATTGAGAAATTACAGACAACCAGAAGGGAATTGCTCAACTTCCCACCTCCCAACTGTCCCCAACTTCAAGTGACTGTTCCCTCCTACACATGTTACCACCATGAGGCCACTTTCTCAGCTGAGTCAAGAAGCCATCCCAGTGTATAAATATCTCCACCCTATACTGTCACTCTCCCTATCAGCCCCAGGATACATAACCATGACATCACCTCTCCTTCTAAAAACAGAGAAACAATATTCTTTCTCTTAGTCCTAACATCCCTGAAGTTTCTGTGTGTGTGTGTGTGTGTGTGTGTGTGTGTGTGTGTGTCCCAATTTTGTGCCTTTAAGTAACCTCTGAAATTGGTTTTCACAATCCCATTCTTTCAAACTCAGTCTTCCAGGGGTTATCTGCTATTCAAAGCTGACTCTATCCCTGCGTCTCACTTAGCACCTGACACTTTCCTGGAGGTCCCCCAGGTTCTGGCTAAGGCACCTTCTCTTCTGCTGGTTCTTCTCCCAGGGGCTGTAGGCGACCCAGAGCTGGGCATCTTCATGTTCCTAGTATTGTGGCTTTAAATATCATTTCTCAAAAAACAAAAGGCCAGGTATTGTGGAACAGGCCCATAAGCCCTGCATTTGGTGTGGGGGGCGGTGGAGGCAGGAAGAGAAGTTCGAGGCTATTCTCAGAGACACAAAGACCAGCATGGGCTACGTGAGACCTTATCTCAAAAAAAAACAAAACAACCAAACTCAAACAAAAACCTCCAAACTCAAAAGCATTTCCCTGTCACCAATGCCTATATTTACACAAGTGGCCATAACCTTGCTGAGACATTCTGGTCCTCACACTCATAGGTGACTGGGGACGAACTCAAGACTCTACCTGTGTGCTCAAGAAGTACCTTCAATAGATATGCTCCAGGCAGAATTTCCAGTGTCGCTTGCCATACTCTCCTCCCCCACTTCCTGGTGGTAGTTAGGGGGCCTCCTTCACCTAGCTGTGGCGTCTCCAACCTTGAACTCATGCCAATCTGTCTGGAAATCCTGTAGGTTGGCTCAACTGTCACAGTTCCTCATGCTGCTTTTCTCCTCTGCTGCCTCCCAGACAACAGTAATGTTTCATCTCTTTTCCCATGATCACTTAGCCCCCAACCTACCCCTCCCACTCTCCTTCCAGCTACCAAAGATATTCTTTAAGATTAAAAATAAAAAAGTAGGACACACCACTTTACTGCTCAAAGCTCCCACTGGCTTCCTCTCACACCCAGAATAAAGCATTAAGTTCTCACTTGACCTACAAGGAGCCATGTGACCCAGTCCAGCCTGTGGCTGTTGTGTGACCTCATTCTGCACCCTGGCTCTAGCTCAGCAAGCTTGCTGTGTTTCAGACACATGTAGCCTGCAGGGACAACAGGACAGTGAGGTGCAAGAGACTGCAATTGACTCGTGCCTTACACATGAGGTGCAAAATGTTCAACCTAAACGAAGGAGCCATATCCTTGAAGCTCCTGGAGGCAGCATGGATTGGGAGGTGGAGAACAAGGGTCTTCCTGGTCTGGCATTTGTTAATAAATTCTTAAATATGACAATGAACAAGATAGATAAGTTGGACTTCATTGCCATGAAAATCATGTCCATCAACAGACACTGCCAAAATTGGGAAAAGCAATGTGCAGGACGGGAGAAATATTTGCAAATCGTGTGTCTGATAATGGTTTAGCATCCAGAGTGTGTGAAGAACACATACATCTCAACAACAAACACAAACAGCCCAGGGAAAAATGGACAAAGGCTAATGAGACGGCTCAGTGGACAAAGGCACTCGACGCCAATCCTGATGATCTGAGTTTGACACCTGGGACCCACAAGGTGGAGGGAGAGAACTGATTATTGGAAGCTGTCCCCTGACCTCCACATGTACATCATGGCACATGTGTTTTACACACACACACACACACACACACACACACACACACACAATAAATATATGAATGAATAAAATAAAAAAAAAAAAAGACCCCACAATGTCCCACAAGCACTTGACACAATGCTCAAGGACAGCCAAGGCTACACACAGAGAAACCCCATCTTGAGAAACCAAAAAAATCAATAAGGAACTACAAGCAAACACCACAGTGATACCACTGCCCATCTGAGGACGACTATAACAATAATAGCTTAAATCAGAAAATAAGTACTGGCCACAAGGGAAAATTGGAACACTGCCAAATGAAGTAACAGTATAACCATTGTGGGAAACATTTTTGGCAGAACCTCCACCAGTTACAGACGGAATTACCATAATCCAGCAATTCCACTTCTTACCTGTGTATATGGATGAGTGTGTCCCCAAAAGAATGTGAAAACTGTTTACTTGCTCAGGGGGCATGAGGGTTCCTTGTGGTACAAAGAAAACAACTGGGACCCTGTAGATGTGGAGGCTACACAGCATCAGGTAGTGCTGGGCTCCCTGAACTATGTGCCAGACACTAGTCAAGTCTCCTGGCTCACCACTGGCCATTCCTCTGCTCGGAGACTCTCCTGGAGGGTGTGTGTGGCATGTCCTCCTCAAGTCCAGGTCCCACCTCATGTGCCCTTCTCCTAGGGACTTTTCCTACTTCTTCACTTCACCTTATACAATGGTGGACTTACGCTCACCTCAAGGCTGAACTTGACTCTCCTCTTACCCCTTTGCACAGCCCTTCCCCCTCCCTTTGCTTGTACAGCCTTTCCCCCTCCTTCTCTCTCCCCACAAAGAGCTAGAATCCCTGTTCAGCAAGGATAATGCATCCAGAAAGATAAAGCCGGTCTGTCTTCCCGAAAGTATGGCCCCACTCTCAGTGTTGAAAGCCAATTTCTCACTGCCGGTGGCTGTGCCCAACCCGACACACAGTAACTGCTCGCCTGGACTGTAAGGACAAGACCATTCCTTCAGCAAAGGGACAGAGAACTGTGGCCACAATATGAATGGCCCGCTGTCCCAGAGGAGCCAGGGCCCTGAGAGAGCCAAGCCTCACCTGGAGCTCCCAGAAGATGCTACGCGTGTGGCGGTGGTAGTAGTGCCTCAGGGGAATGTACTCAAGGCCCTCACGGTTTGTCTTCAGGTAGTTCTCCACATGCTTGAAGAACCATGGCTTGTAGTAGCTGCCAATGCTATTCAGCTGAAATGACAAGAGGGCATTGTGATCAGAGAGTGTCAGACCGCACAAGGGAGCCACCAGGGAGCAATAGTGATCCGGCCACTGTTCAATACCCTTGGCCTTTTCCAAGCTCTGACATGTCAATTGTGGCCTTGGAGAGTTCAGAGCCAGGAGCCTTGGGCACAGCAGGTACTCACTCTCCAGCAGAGAGCAGACAGATGCTCAGTGACCTTAGCACTGTGCACAGGGCCACATAGCCGGCTCTGGAAGTCTAGGAAATTTAGTGGCCCATCTTAGTCGGTGTCCTGATTTGAACACAAGTCAGTGCTCACGGGGTCAGTGGTAATTCAAGGCTCAGCACAGGTTAGCTTCCTGCTGCCCTCACTGAGCCAGTGTGGATCACCCTCATGCAACCCACAACTCCAGCTCCAGCCAACCATGACACTTTCTTGCTGTTCCCAGACTTGGCTCCAGTCCTCTGTGTTCAGCACTTTCCCCAGAGTCTCCCTCTCCTGGAGGGATGCTCACAGGCTACATGTTCTGGCTCCAGGCTGTGTCCTCCAATGCCTAAATGACACATTGAACTGTTGTCTTACAGCTCTCAGAGGTCCAGGCCTTGATCTGTCTGGTTCCAATAGAGGGTGCTGGGCTTCTCAGACCCTAGCACCCTCTCCTCTCAAATGAATTCTGGGCAGATTCTCTTGGGTGGAGAGTAGTACCTTCTAGGGCTGGGAGGCTATGCTTTAGCTGTGTGAATTGGTGAAGGCTACTCCCTAACCCTGTTTCCTGCATATGTGAATTAACAATGAAAATATACATTTTCTAACTAACTAACTCTCTATGTATGCACACATACATACATACATACATTTATTTCAGGGCTTTACTTCTCAAAACAAAACCACAAATGAAAACCAGGACCATACCACACTGTGTACATACTGTGTGCCAATTTTCTCTTCCCATGTACAAGCCATGAGGTTGATCTTTAGCCTGTTTGTTTCACTTTCTATATGAAAAGATATTGATACTGCCACCTGGACTGGCTGTGTAGGTCAAAACGCATAACACAGGACACACCTGGCATGGGCATGGTCTGCAGTGGTCCTCAGCATCAGTTCCTCACCCTCCCACTGGCTGTCAGCCTCCCCTCTGCAGCCAGCACCTGGCACTTCTCTGGGTACCACCCTCTTGTGGAGCCTTCTCTGAGACAGGCACTCTGTGGGGAGGAACGTGGGAGCCACAGAGGGCTGGAGAGTTCTGCACAGAGCCTGTTTGCCCAAGCTGGCTTCCTTGTGGATAGTGAGGCCTCTGCTTGGTAACAGAAGGGGACCGAAACTCAGCAGCAGACGGAGCAATTTGATCTAAGGCAGCTGAGGCCTGGCCACTTGCCTGGCAGTGGCATCCACTGTGTAATTAAGTCGAAACTTGGGGTGCCTAGGTCCAAGGTCTTAGGGAACCACTGCACTAGAGAAGTCCCGAAATGATAAAAAGCCAACCTAATCACCACTCAGGACACACAGCAGCTGGGAAGGCCAGGAGGCTGTAGAAGCTCATTTCAGCTTTAACATATCCTGAGAGAGCCACTCTCACCTGGCTGCAAAGTGGGTTACACCCTCACAAGGAGCCTCACCCTGGTTGGTGCCACCAGAGGACCCATAAGAGTGACTGGCTGGCTTCTAAACTGGGATGCTTGGCTCATTAAACAGCATCTACTACTCTCTTGTCCTAGCTCAGCTAACAATTCGTGTCCCAGTCTTGCTTGTTATGGCAAAAGCCAAGAATCTCTGGCCCCTGTGCTTTTCTGCCACTTGGCCTGGAGTAGCTCTTGGAAAGGTCTTGGGGCCTTCGTTCCCTCCTCAGGAAACACAGGGATCGGGTCAGGTGTCCAAACATGTTAAAAGTTGAACAAATCCTTTTTTAGTGGTCATCACTTTGATGGCATCTAATCCATCAGACAATGGTAAAGTTATTTTTGTACGGCAGGTGGCTTCTCTCTCCCCTTGGCCCCTCCCCTCAGCTTTATGCTGTGGACACCTCTAAGGAGTTGCCCGGGACAAGCTGGAACACCTCTGGACAGGCGATTAGGGGTGGGGTGCTCACAATGACTAGGCTCAAGGCCAGGGAGAGCCAGAACACTTTGGCTCCATGGCTACCTCCCTCCAGACATGTGTCCCACCAGGAATCAATGGCTTGCTGTTAAACTCTAGAAGCTGGGACTCAGGGACCCACATGAACTCAGAGCCAGAGACCAGAATGTAAATCTGCTATGCTTACTGGGCATCTCCAGGAGTCTCTGTCCCTCCCTGGGCCTCATTTCCTAATATGCAGAGGGGATTGTTCTACATGATTTGTGAGTCCTTTTCAATTATTGTAGTTTACCGAGACCTGAGTCTCATATACAGTAGGTAAGCACTCTACCACTGGGCTAAACCCAGTGTTTAATTGGAAACCCCCCTTTCCAATTAAACAAAACAAAAACAAAATTTATTTTGTGTGTGTGTGTGTGTGTGTGTAACAGAGGACAACTTATGGGAGTTAACTCTTTCCCTCTGCCATGTAGGTCTCAGGTATCAAACTCAGCCTTGGTGGGAAGTACCCATATCCACTGAGCCATCTTGAGGCCCCCAATTTTATTTTATTATTTTTAAAATATTTATTTATTATGTACATAGTGTTCTGCCTGTATGTATGCCTGCAAACCAGAAAAGGGCACCAGATCTTACTACAGATGGTTGTGAGCTACCATGTGGTTGCTGGGAATTGAACTCAGGACCTTTGGAAGAGCAGGCAGTGCCCTTAACTGCTGATCCATCTCTTCAGGCCCGAGGGCCCCTCCAATTTTAAAACATTTTAAGTTTGCAGGTATAGATCAAGAGCCTTAAGAGATGCTTATACTTTGGTATAATAATTCTACTTTAAGATATTCTTCAAGTTCTTACTGCTCCACTAATTAAATTAAAAAACAAAACTGGAAGCAACTTAAAATTTCCAACTGTGGACAGTATTTTTTTTTTTTTTATAAGCAACAGACAGGGTATTTGATCAATGCACTGTTGTGCAGACATTAAATCAATGGAGGCATCGGAGCACAGGACATTTACCCACTGGACAAGACAAATTTGAAGAGGTGATCATAGATAAAGGTAGACAAACTAGAAAACTCAGCAAAGATGTGTTCAACCGTGAAGTAACAAGAGAGCTACAAAAGAAAGAGGAACTATTTTTAACCTTATCAGATTGGCAAAAATCAAAGTGTGATACTCTCACTACAGTTGGCAAGAACGTAGGGGAAAAGGCCTTCAGCCACCTGCTGCTGGAGGCGGGCATGAACACGACCAATCCATTGAGGGCTGTGCGGTTTTACTCACCCGTATTTAGGGTGCTTACACCTGGGCTCAGGATTCTATGATTCTATTTCATTCATAAAAATGCTGGTACAAAAGGACAAGAAGAGAGTCTTAAATCAGGTCAAGGACTTACATTTAACCAAGTGGTGAGGAACAGGATAAAATCAGGACACATCCAACCACATACACTGAGAAATTCATGTGGAATGCACTGTGGAAGTGGTTACCGTGTGTGTGTGTGTGTGTGTGTGTGTGTGTGCGTGTGCGCGCGCGCGCGCGCATGCATGTGTAAAGAAATGCACCTTAACTTTCTTACATGTTCAACATTGCCATACTAGTTTATCATTTAAAAACTTGAAAAAGGTTTTATGCATGCATTAAGTGGGTGGGGGGGGGATAAATGAGGAACAGCTAACTTTGGGTCAAGTGTGTACATGGGGTCTTTTACTTGTTCCTACTTCTAGGTCTCTTACAATGAGCACAAATCCTTTCTGAGTGGAGAAAAAAACTCTACTATTAGAAATTACTTGGTCATGCTGGGCAGTGGTGGCGCACGCCTTTAATCCCAGAAGCTGGGAGGCAGAGGCAGGCAGATCTCTGTGAGTTTGAGGCCAGTCTAGTCTACAGAGCAAGTTCCAGGCCAGGCTCCAAAAGCTATGAAGAGGAACCCTATCTTGAAAAAAACAAAATTACTTGGTTGCCAGGCGTGGTGGCACACACCATTAATCCATACTTGGGAGGCAGAGGCAGGCAGATCTCTGAGTTTGAGACCAGTCTAGTCTACACAGTGAGTTCCAGACTAGCCAGGGCTGCACAGTAAGACCCTGTCTGAAAATAAACAGACAAAAAACCAAAACAAACAAACAAACAAACAAACAAAACAAAATCAGAAGCAGAAATGACAAGTATATTACATAGTTGACTCACAGTTGTAATTCCAGAACTTATACTCAAGAGACTGAGGCAAGAAGATGGCTATTAGTTGGAGGTTAATCTGGGTTACTCAGTGAGTTCTAAGACAGCCTGAGCTAGTATGTAACCATGACTGAAAAATAAATACAGATTAAAACATCACACACTTGCCACATATAATTAAAATACATTAATAAAATATTAAACATTGTATGGTGAAAGCTGAGGGTGTGCCCATTTGGTTTGGAGGAAGTTTCAAGGTAATTGCTTAATCTGGCCCCTGCCATCCTCTGGAAATTTAAATTAGCCCTCGGAGCATCAGTTTCCTCATCGATGACACAGGCTGTCATTAGACATTAGGTTTTGTCTACCACACTCGGGGAGCACATGAGAGGCAGGTGGCAGGAGTGTAAGACACAGGACTCTTGTGGTCCCTAACACAGCTCTGAAGGAGCCTGTTCCTTGAAGCCTGGTGGGCTGCCACAAGAGGCAGTCTAGAATAGGTCCAGCCCCAGCCCATCTTTATCCCCTGACTTACCTTGCTGGGTTCTACGTCATCCGTCATGACCCCTGTCATGATGACAGCCTCATCTAGGGAGTACAGCAACCCTTCCACAAAGTGGTTCTCCAATCGCTGGGACTCATGGGTGAACTTTTCACAGATAGCCTCCAGGCCCCGAACTGGCTCAAATCGCAGCTTGACGTACTTCTTGGCAGGGATGATACGGATCTCGGCAGCCACCAGGAAACCCAGGGTCCCACAGGACCAGGGTACAGCATAGAAAAGGTCTGAGTTTTCAGACTGTGAGGAAGAATTGGCATGTGATGAGAGCCTGACCTCTAGACATGGTCAAGGACATAGCGCCCAGGCCAGATTCCTGCCATTGCTATCTTGAGCAATGCACATTATAATGTATATTATAATCGGTACTCAATTTTCCCTCTGCAGTTTCTACTTCATATTTAACCTCCTACTGGTCCCTGTATCAGGGATGCTCAGATAAACAGCATCCAACACCTACTACTGAGGCCTAGCCTCTGAACCACATGCTGCCTGGGAAGGCCATGACCAAAGACCCCAGAGGGAGGACGAAGGGGCAAGCAGGGGCACCAGTGCAAGCTAAATGAGCTAGATTCCTACTAGAGTTGGGACAGCCAAGAGGCATGAAAATGTGAAAATGCCCCCTCCTGAGCTGGCACTAGAAGCGACAATGCCTTTCTTGGTCCGCTTCGCCTTATTTGGGAGCCTTCTGAGAGGTAAGGAGCACGTGGCTCTACAAGCTGACCCGCCCCAGTCAGAGTTCCCTGGAACGACAGCTGCAGCAGCCGGGCTCAGGCAGGATCTCCCAACTCCAAAGCAGTGTTCTCCCACAGCCCTGCTCAGCCCTGAACATCTGATCCCACTGTCCCACACACGGATACTGCCTTGGCCATTGGCCACTCTAAGTTAGATTCTTTACATCTCCAAGAGCCCTTTTCCAAAAACAATCCAGCCTTGGGCTGGTTTACCAATAGGCCAGTTGTGTGCCAGCTCTACTAACCTGCATTGCCTGGGTGGTAGGCAGGACAGGGAGCATGGGGACAGGGGACCAGACAAGGGAGCTCTGCGGCATGCAGCAGGAGCCTCTGCTACAGCAGGACTCTGTCAACCAATCCCTTCCCTGGTCTACTAGCTCATCTCACTGTCCAGATCATAGCGGCACAAACTCCCAAAATTGCACCCCTGGCTCCACGGCAGGAACCGACACAGCACCTTCCCCCTTCAGCTCATACAGCTGTCAAAGGAGGAACCTGGCCTCAGAGAAGCCTTTGTCTCCTTCCTCTCCTCAGGTGCGTGCATAAGAAGATGCACTGGACCAATGTGACATATTTCTTGGGTGACTGCAGTTTATTTATCCCAGATCCGAATTCCTGAGCTGGTCATCTTTCCCTGGGCTCTCTTCTGTGAGGCCAAAGCTCTGGTGGCTCTGATGTACCCACCTTGAACCCAATGACCCAGGTTTAAGTTCTAGCTGTGTAGGATTTACGTTCTGTGTGACCTTGGGCAGGTCATTAGCCTCTCTGTGCTTGAGTTTCCTATCTGACTCATGGTAACCAGAGTATTCACCTCACACTTTGCTGGAGAAAATAACACGCATGAAGCATCGTTAACAGGGCCTAAATGCATTTAAGGGGGTGTACAGCCCAATGGATGTATTTAAAACGAAGCACGAAAAGGACAGCCACCTCCCAGACTCCACAGTCCCCCCCATCTCTGAACTTACCGGCGTGCAGCGCACAAAGCTGCCATCTGCCAAGATCAGCTCATAGGCGGTGCAGATGTGTTGGAAGAGACCGTACTTGTGGGATGACGACTCGATGCCTGTGCCCATGATCAGGCCCCCTGCAGAGACATGCAAGTCAGCAGGGAAAGCTGTGGTGTGCACGGAGGGGCTGGCGGAAATGAAGCTGCTAAATTAGGATATTCCCCATCTATCAATTTGGAGAGTAGGAATGAATGAGAAGGTCTCCTTGAGGATAGTCACCACCCTCATCTCTGGCCAGCCTCCGAGGTTAAAAAAAACAAAAACAAAAACAAAAACAAAAAACATGTGCATCCACTTTAGGAGGAAGCTACTGGGTGGCAGGGTGTGTGACCTACAGGATGCTTCTGTCCCGGGACAGAAGAGCTTTGGTGGTCACAGACCCTGCAGGGAGCGGAACCAAACTTATTCTGTGTGTGACACTAGTAAACGGAGCAATGGACAGTCATGAGGAAGCAGACAGGATTAGAATATCTGAACTGCTCAGAAATGGAGCAAGGCCATTTCTGGCCCAAACAGAAAAGTAGCCGTCACAGGGCAGATCCACTATGGAAGGGGGTCGACGTTCCTCAGCTGTGATACTGGGACCACCCAGCCCTCCTGCCGTGAACATGGAGTACTCACCCACTGTGAGGTCATCCAGCTCAGGCAACACAGGCAGGGTCCAGCCAATGGAGTTCAGCAAAGCTGTCACCTGACCCATAGACACCAAGGGCTCCACTCGAACAATCTGTGGATGGGACAAGAGAGAGGCTAGGTCTGAGGAAAACAGCCAACCCAACGATAATGCCTGCACACACAGAGTGACATCTCAGCCTTCCCAAGGCCTCAGAGATACAGCTTTTATGGCTCTTCCTAGAATACTAGACTGGCTTCAATTATGCTGACTATGACCTCTGGTTCTGAGTCAGTTAGTGTTGAATGTCACCCCCCTGAAGATCTCATAACTGTTGGGTGTGGTTCCCAGAATTTGGGAAGCCGAGGCAGGAGAACTGCCACAAGTTTTAGGCCAGTTGGGGCTATATAACAAAATCTTGTAAAAACCAAACCAAACAAACTCCAAACAAACAGAATCAAATACAGCAAGTGCTTATTTTTTTCTAGATAATGGGAGAAATATTAGTTTGGAAATTATAGCAAAAATGAGGAAGAAAACAGCAATCACCCATACCAGCTCTTTACTTAGCAATGATAATCACAAAGCAGATCTGCCTTGCTTTTCCACATGTCTATGCTGCTCTTTTGTGTGTTTTAATGCAACATACATATACACAAGGACAAACACATCTGTTTGACTACTAAAAATTTAATACTAGAAGGGGCTGGATAGATGGACTGGATGCCCTTCCAGAAGACCCAGGTTTGATTCCCCGCACCTGCATAGCAGCTCACAACAATCTGTGAGTCCAGTTCAAAAGACGATTCTCTCTTCTTGCACCAAGCATGCAAGTAATGCAAAAATACATATGTAGGCAAAATACCCACACATGTGAAAAATAAATTAGCATTAAAGATTGGGGCGACCACTCAGTGGAAACCACAAGTGCTAGGACAGAAGTTCAGACTCCTAGCACCATGAAAATGCCTGGTACATGTAACAACCTGCCCAGGGCATCAGAGCTAGAGATCAGGGCTCCTTAGAGCAAGTTGGCTAGTCAGACCTGCCAAATTGATAAGCTCTGGGTTCAAGTGAGAAACCCTACCTTAATCTATATGGTGGAGAGCAATTACAGAAGACATCCAACTTGCTGTGGGATATTTGTATGCTATGTGAAAAAGTATTGCTTTTGTTTCCACAGGAGAAGAAACGCTATGGATACATCAAGATTGGTAAAGGTTAGATTTGAACAGGAGAGACCTCTTGATAGGAGAGGTGATGATTCCTCAAATAGCTTGGTCACTCAATCCAAACTAACTTGTAAGTCTAGTCAATGTCTTTCATTTGATTGGGTATGGAAAATATTTTTTATTATTAAAAGATAATACTTTTTCTGTTGCCAAAAAACATTTTGAATTAACAAAGATATAACCTGACAAAAAAGGAACTCCTCAAAGTTAGGGTTGGTGCAGGGTTTTGTTTTTGTCTTTCCAGGAGAATAAAAGCATTCAACTAATGAATCTGAAGATCACCGGACAAATGAGACAGCTAAAGAAGGGAGAATCATCCTGAGAAAAATGTCCCAAGAAAAAGCAAAATTGTCCTAATGGTATAGCACATTTCATAAGTCTTTCCAAATATTTGTTTCTGCTGCTCTCTACAGGCAAATGGTCTGTCTGTGGTCCCAATCCAGTTAAAAATCAAAACTGGCTTTGGAGCTGCAGCATGCTCTCTCCTTCTCTAAACCCAAGCACGATGGTTAAAGGAAAACCCAAAATCTCTGTCTCGTGTTAGAAGAGTCGCCTGATATGGGACAGAAGAAAACTAAAGGGACTATTCTACTGTCACTAAGGTATAATATTATCTCTAAATTTATAAGATTACCATGTAGTAATTACTATATTACTAAACTTTCTGTCATGATATTAATGGTCATATAGAGTACTAACTAATCCTAGAAAAAACAGGCTTCATCTAGTTCCCTGTACATGATTTCAAGCTTGAGTCTGAATCAGGTAACTAGGAATTAAGCTGTGTACCCCAGATATACTGGGGTATAGATTAGATTGTATATAATTAGATTGTATTAACCTCTCTGAGATCTGCTGCATATGACATTTAAAATGTTTAAATTTTCTGCAGTGAACCATAATCATTCTGAACATTGATCTTTGAAGTCTCCAAAAGGATGATGAGGCCCTACAATGACAATTGCACCTGGATTTCGATAATGCCATTAAGCTGACAAACACTACCCAAAGATCAGCTTTGAACTACAAACTGCGTAGGATACTTTCAAGTCAGTTGAGATGGTTCAAACTCACATACTGTCTCCCTACACTTTCCCATTACACAGAAACTAAACAAAAAATAACACAGCTAGCTCTCCTAGGACTTGATCATTATTTTCTCAGGGTCCCCTAAAGATGCCGTCTCCCCCAGATAACAGGAAGTAGTTTTAAGAATATGATGCACATTCCCATGAGGTGGGGTGGGTGGTTTTTGATTGTTCAGTAGGATTCGAATGTTTGTCATCCTTTAGGGGGGTGGTTGCAGATTGTTACTGGTCATGATAAGGGAGGAAACTAAGCAAGGAAGGTTGGATTCAAGGATCTCTTTCTGAAAGAAAAGGGGGGATATAGAAAGGATAGGATAAGAATAGATTATTGAATCTACTTTAAACTAAAAAGCAACTATTAAAGCCAGGCATTGGTGGCGCACGCCTTTAATCCCAGCACTCGGCAGAGGCAGAGGATCTCTGCGAGTTCGAGACCAGCCTGGTCTACAAGAGCTAGTTCCAGGACAGCCTCCAAAGCCACAGAGAAACCCTGTCTCGAAAAACCAAAAAAAAAAAAAAAAAAAAAAAAAAAAAAAAAAAAAAAAAAGCAACCATTAAATCTCTATTAATATTTTACATTGGTATGGATTTTTATATATCAATACAAATTAAAGGTTATTTTTGTTAGAACATATTCTAATGCTTGTTTAATAAACTTGTTTAATATACCTTTATATATAATGATATAAATTTAAGGTTGTTTTTTTATACTGTATATGTGTTTCTACTCTTGTTTAAGGTATTATACCTATGCAGCTCATTTAAAAATGTAATGTATAATTAAGAAATTCAGGTTAGTAGTTAGTCATCTATAATAATTAAACCTGTAGTCATGTTAAGTATGTTTTCAAGGTTTAACAGATATATTTTAGATAGATAGGTGGTCTTCAAACACTTCAGAGACCTACAGAATATGGCATTTAAGATGTTTTAATAACCCAAGGCTTTTCATGACATCTGTTCCTGGAAATACCAATTTACTTATAAAAAAAAAAAAAAGGATGTTGGGCATCCAAGAACCTCCATATAGAGTTTGCTTTTGTTGTGGCAAAGTTAGCTATTGGGAAAAAAACTGCCCTTGCCTTGACTGCTGACAGTATGCTGTCCAAGTTGGATGAGTAGAACACAAAAAAAGGTGACTGCTGAATTTTGCCAAGACAAGGTAGGACAGTCCTTTAAAATTCCTGCTTCACAGAAAGGTCTGTCAAGATATTCTAGGCCTGTAGGCCAAACATGGATGCCCCAGAGTTGCGGAGGACCCTTGGGTGACTGTCCAGGCAACCAGCTGCTTCTGTCCTTTCTTAGTTTTTGTGAGTTGTTTGCTCTGCACTTCCTGTTTAATCAAGCAATGATACCTGAGAGACAGGGAGCAAACAAGGCAAGCTCTGAGATTACCCTCATTTGCCCAGAGTGAACAGGGAGAAGGAGGGAAACCTGGGCAGGGCCTGTATCATTTTGATTACTAAACCAGAGCTCCAGAGGACCAATCAGAAAAGAGACTTTGCAGCACAGAGTATCAGAACAGTGCTGCCCAGAGACGACTACTTGGAAGAATTGCAAAGGGCATCATGGCAAATTCAACCAGGTATATACGTGTACAGCTATCTCCTGAGGCTGACGCCAGGGAACAGAATCATCAGGGAAGGTTACAGGTCAAGGTACCAGAAGGTCACCCAGGGCAGGCATACTATTTATTCTCATAAGCCAGCCTGGAAAACTTCACTCATGGAGCCTTGAACAGAGTCCTTAGAATGTCTTGCCCTCAGTATCGGGGAAACAATTAATCCAGATTAAATGGTGCTCGGGTCCCACCTAATAAAATCAAGACCCAACAGGATCAAATTGTTTTCAAGGAATTTAGCTGCCTCCTAGAAATACAACCTCAAGACATGTAGCAATACAATACCCAACACCCACTAGGAAAAGATCAGAATGTCACAACTGTCCTGTCAGCATTTATAGGCATTCAAAGAGGCAGGAAACTACGGCCCACAATAATGAGAAAAATCAAGCAAATAAAACAGATCTAGAACTGACAGACAACAGAAGAGCAATCAGGGACACCAACTTAATTCTCTATATTTAAATAGTTAAATTTGAGGGCCAGCAAAATGGCTATGTGGATAAAAGAACTTGCCTTGCATGCTTGAAGACCTGAGTTCACTCTCCAGAAATTCAGGAAGATAATTGACTTTCAAAAATTATTCTCTGACCTCCACATGTGTGCCTCAGCAAGTGCATGCATGCGTGAGCGCACTCTCTCTCACAACACACACACACACACACACACACACACACACACACACACACAGAGGCACACACACACACACACACTCACACATACACAAATAAATAAATAAACTTCCAAAAAAATTTGCAAGACCCAGTGTCTGCAATGAAAGATAAAGCGGACTGGGCTAACAGCAAACTAGGAATTACAGAAAAAAATTAGTGGACTGACACATAGGACAAGGGAAACCAGCTACAGTGAGACAGGAGAAATAATTTGAACAATACGAAGAGGCTTAACACACCTGTGATAGCAGTTTCCAAAGGAGAAGAGAAAAGGGAGAAAGCAGAAAAAAAAAATGCCCCCCAAATTTTCTACAATCAGTGAAAAAACTAACAAGTTCTAAACCCAAGAATTATGAAAATTATACCAAAAACATCACAATAAATTGCTCAAACCCAGTAATTAAGAAAACATTTTAACAGCAGAAAAGCCTATTTTTGGTTGTGAGCCTAGCCTCTAACGGCTGAGCCATCTCTCTAGCCTGAGAAAAAAGCCTATTAAGAAGGCTGCCATTCTTTCTTTTTTCCTGTGTATTCCTTTTTTGTGATTGTTTTGTCTTTCAAGACAGGGTTTCTCTGAGTAGCCCTGGATATCCCAAAACTCGCTCTGTAGACCAAGGTGGCCTTGAACTCAGAGATGTGCCTACCTCTGCTGGGATTAAAAATGTGCACTACCACCTCCTAGCTATGAGTTTAGTTCCTGGCATCCATGTTGGGAGGCTTAAGACCTGTAACTCCAGAGTCTGATACCCAATTCTGACCTCTGGGGAGACATGTGTGTGCATACACAGACACATAAATAAAAAAGAAAATACATTAAAATAAAAACTGACAGAGTTCTTACTAGAAACAATGCAAACAAAGTAGTGGAGTAAGGTCTTCAAAGAACTGGGATAAAAATGCCTATCAATGTGTATTTATACATATTGTGATGTATACAAGAAATGTTAAGAGCTTCTTTGGGCAAAAGTAATACAAATGAACAGAAATATAATTCCAGAATAGAAATGAAAAGATAGTAACTCCATGGACAAATAAATGTTATTATTTAAGTCTCTTTAATAGGCATTAAGATAACAGTTAGGAGCTAAGGAAAGTGTGACAACAGTACAAAAGGCGGGGTGGGGGTGGGGGTGGGGGAGGAAATGGAAGCATATTGTCCTAAGATCTTTATACCACGTGCGAAGTGAGATAAGATCGTTGGACTGCAACCGGGACAACATATACTGGAAACCCTGAAGCAGAGCTACAGCTTAGTAAGCCAGAAAGGAAGCTCACACAGAACCATCAAGATTATCTGGTAATCCAAAAGAACACAGGTAGAAGAAATGAGACACATAGACAACGGACAGCAGGTGACAGGCTCAAGCCTCATCAGTTAGGGACATTAGATGCAATGGCCTTACCACCGCAATTAAAAGACAGAGGCTACCAGGTTGAACTTAAAAAAAAAAAAGCAAGACCCAACTGGTTGTTGCCTATAAGAGAAACACACTTGATTAGGTCAATAGTAAAAGGATTAAAACATTATGCCACCACTAGTCACATGAAAAGCCAGTGGCTTTATCAACATCAGACTAAGTAGATTTCAGAGCAAATAATGTAACTAAAGATTTTTTTTTTTTAAAGGTAATCTCACCCAGATGTGGTGGTGCACACTTATAATCTCAGCATTTGGAAGGAGGCAGTAGGTAGAGGATTCAAGGCCAACCTGGGCTACACCTTTTCATAATGATAAAAAAGGGATTAATAAAAAAAACTTAATCATGTGTTAGCTTCCTTTGTTTATGCCTAATAACAGGGCTTTGAAATACAGGGTGTGAAACTGACACATGACAGCTATAAGACAGACAAACCTACAATTACAGGTCGCCTTCAATCTCTCTCATTGATTAGCAGAGTGGAAATGTATAATGTCAGATCTGAACAAGATGACTCATCATGACACCTAATTGACATTTGTAGAACAGGCCACTCCAAAACAGTGCACTCATAGGAGCATGTGCATGTACACATGTACACATGTACACACGCACGCACGCACGCACCTCAAATTTTTTTTTTTTTTTTTTTCGAGACAGGGTGGAATTTTTCTTAAGTTGAAAGCATTCAATTTTCTGGCAACAGCCAAATTAAATCAGAAATCTGAGATAGAAAGAGTATGTTAAATATTTGGAAACTAAACATCCTGGTAACTAACCCAAGGCCAAAACATAACAGCAAATGAGAAATTAGAAAGTATTTTAGGGTGGGTGCAAGCCTGACAACCTGACTTTGATCCCCAAACCTCCACACTCCTGCATCGGCAATAAAATTTGCAAATTTTTTGCAATAAAATTTGCAAAAGGCAAGCCACGGGTGAAGAAAAATATGGAATGATTTTGGATTTAAAAAAATTAGCAAAGGATGACATGCCAATGGCCAGTATGCACATGGAAAGATGGCCAGGGTCTTCAGTCATTAGGGGAGAGCAAGCTAAAACCACAAGGAGGCGCCACCACAACACACCATGAGAATGGCTAAAATCAAGGCCAACTATGACAGGTTCAGCGGTATGTAGCAGCAGGCACACACACTGCTTACCGGACTGTAAAATGCAGCTACTCCTTAGAAAAACAATATCCACCTGCCAAGTGACTCAGCCAATCTCCACCTCCACATTTGTCCAAGGAGAGACTTTTAAAGACTTACTATTTTTCTTTGTATTATTTTAAACTATATGTATGTGTGTATCTGGGTACATGTGTGCAGGTACTCTTGTAGGCCAGATGCTTTGGGTCCACAGACCTGGAGTTACAGGTGGTTGTGAACCCTCTGATGTGGATGCCAGGAACCAAACTTGGGTCCTTTACAAGAATAGTACACGTGCTTACCCGATGAGCCACCTCTCAGGCCCCCTTTTTAATTTGATTTGATTTTTTATAATTATGTGCATGTGTGTGTGTGTGTGTGTGTGTAGCTCAGAGGTCTCCAGTGGGGCTCCCCTGGAGCTGGAGTTATAGATCGTGAACGGCCTGACGTGGTGGGTGATGGGGACTGAACTCAGGCTCGTGCAAGAGCTGAGTCGGCTCTCCTGCCACAAAGAAAGACCTTACAAGTTTACAGAAAGTCTGCTCAGAAATGTTCCTGACCAAAGTGGAAATAGCCTGGATGTCCACCCATGGGTAAATGGCTAAACAAACTGATCTATCCATGCAAAGGATACTATTTAGCAGACAGACAGTTTGTGCCAGGCACACATGCTTTAATATGGATGAGGTCTTAAAAATAGTCATTAGAGGGGCTGGAGAGATGGCTCAGTTAAAGAACACTAAGTACTCTTCCAGAGGTCCTGAGTTCAATTCCCAGCAACCACATGATGGCTCTCAACCATCTGAGATATGGTGCCCTCTTCTGACATGCAGGTATGCATGGAGGCAGAATGTTGTAACCATAATAAATAAATAAATCTTTTAAAAAAAATACTCATTAGAGAACCCAGACCAAAAAAGTAGCACTAAATGATTTCTTTCAATAGTCTCCAAGGTCTAGCATTCATTTATAACAACAGAAGCAGAACACTGTCAACCCAAGGCTGTGGGTGGAACAGATAGGGAGGTGGTTTAAGGGAAAGAATTACTAAGAGCTATGAGTAAACTTGTAAGGCTGTTGGGTACGCTCTGTGTTTTAATAATGGTTTTGATGGTGTAATGCTGTCAAAATTTATTACCCAATTGCACAGTTTAAATAGGTGCAGTTTATTGTATGCTGGGTATACATCATTAAAGCTGTCATAGAGAAGGCACAGGGATACATGTACTCTGGCCAGGGTCTCAGAGTGATAAAACGCCATCAAGTGGACACACTGTATTCAATGACTCTCTTGTTGCTGGATATTGCATTGTTCTATTAGAAATGAAAATGTAATCAAAATCTGTATATTGGGGATCTTTGATTATATACATATAAGTTTAATTCCCTTTTCTTTAAGCTATGTTTTGAGAAGGAGAATGACGACACATTTTCTTAGCTAAAAAGCCCAGAAGCATTAAAAAGTAGAATCAGTAGATGGGCCAAAGAGTATGTATTTCTGGGCACGTTCCCCTCTCCTGGCTGCTGCCTCCCCCCACCCCCCACCCCCGTTTTCCCACCAGCATACTTTCTTACGAGGAAGGAAGTAAGAAGGTTCCCTTTTGTCATTCACGTTTGCCTGTGATTTCTCCATCCCTAATTTTTTATAGAACTAAAACGATTAAAAGATTCCCTGGAGTTCTCACCTTGCATGACTGGCTATGGCCAGTTTTTCCTCCCAGTGGTTGTGAGGCTTGGGAGGACAACAGTGGTAGGTAGAGCTAGTTAGTAACAAGCCTGAGCTATTGGCAGAGCATTTATAATTAATATAAGCCTCCATGTGTTTATTTTGAGAGTGACTGTGGGATAGGAGAACTCCGCCTACACAGAGCCTTTACTGATGGCCTTGGTCCTGTCCACTCTGGGATGTCCTTGATGGAACTCATTTCCCTCACAACAGGGGCAGTGTTCATCTGCTCCCAGAGCCAGGTTATAGCACATGCTCACTTGGTTGTTTCTTTTTTTTTCCTTTGGGGAGAGGGGCAGTACTGGGGATTGAACCCAGGGCCCTGTGAATGCTAGGTAAACTCTCTACCACTGAACTCCAACCCCAGCCCCAGCCCTCTCACCTGCTTCTTGGTGTCCACCTCCAAAATGTCCATCAAGTTGATCATGATGTTCTTATGCGTCTTCTTGTATTTCCCAACCCGCAGTGAGACCGTGAGCCAGCCAGGACGCCCCGTGCACATGAAGGTCTTGCTGCCCTGTTCCTTCCATTCTCGTACCTGCAACCACAGGATTAGATTCAGCTGGCTCCATCTGGGATCCCCAGAGCAGCTCACAGCCCCTCCTTTGGGAGAAGGGAGCTAGGAAAGATGCCTTTACCCAGGCACCATTGGGAAGGATGATGAAGCCCTGAGGGCCTTATCCTGTGGAGTCTCCCTGGCTCCCAAGGCCAGCAGAAAATCCAAATGTGTTGCTACTGTACAAGGAAGGATGAAAAAAGAACTAGAAAACAAAGTGTTCTGAAGACATTAGCTGGAAAGTTCAGGAAAGGTTTTACAGTGGTAACAGAGTGATTATAAAAATGATTTATCATCTCCAGTGAGCACCCACCCGACTACTGTACACTCTCTTGCTAATTCTCTCGATCCCAGGAAGTTGCAGATGAGGAAACCCAGGCAAAATAACTTGTCTGAGATCATACAACACATGGCTGGCAAGACCCAGATTCATAGCCAGGACTGAATAACCACAGAGCAGGGAAGACAGAGAGCACAGAGACAGATGGACTTAGTCTACGGAGGAAGACCCTGTTGTCAGCATCCACACATGCTAACTCATGTATCACTTTGACAGGGAGAGAAGGGGCTAGGAGCAGCCAGCCAATGGGAAGTAGGACTTGAAGGGTGCAGAGGACGACATTTTAGGGAGGAATAAAAGAAGTATATTGTCCCTGCAGGCGGACAAGACAGGCACATAAGGCATGGCTGTAGTCAGGGCATCCAAACACCGTCCATTTCTTCATCTACTTCTAGAATTCCTCTTCTCTCCACCCAGGTGAGGCAGATTCCATGCTGCTGGCCACTGGACAGTTTTAGGAATGGGACTGTGATCCCAGGAGTCAAGCCACTGAGTCTGGTTCCAGCAGGGGCATGCTCTCTTTACTGAGGTGGGGCTAACGCTGACTGAATCTAAGCCAGAAACTGTTAGGGGCTCCACAGGAAAACAGCACCCCATGAGGATGAAGTCAACTCAGGGGAAGGAAGAGCCAAGAAAGACATGGCAGGCAAGATGGAGACAAACATGAGAGAGGGTCCGGGATTCAGCCACTCCTCAGCCAGCTGTACTGCTGGATTTCAGGACACAGCGAGTGCAGCTTCTTTTTACTCAAAGCAGCTTCAACAAAGTTTTTCAAGAGTCCTGTCAAGGGTCAGACTTCTGCGGAAGCTGCCCTGGAGCTGTTGGTCAGAGGGCTCAGGATGGGGAAGGGTTTTCAGTCCGGCAGAAGGGCACTACTTGGGTAGGCAGAGAAAAGACAAAAGGTGAATTCCATGACCACCTAGCTCTGCCTGACTCTGTGGAAATGGAATATGATGGAGTGGAGTAGAGGTGTTGCTGGATGGTGGGTCGCACAGGTAGACACTATCAAGCTTAGGACATTGACTGGATTTGGGGCAAAGAAGCAAAGCCCCCTAAACCATTCTTTGCAAATTCTCAAGAGAGACAGAAAGGGTCCAGAAACTCAGGCAGCTATGATAAGAAACCGGGTATGAGGCAACCAAACCAGAATCATGGGATGGGTTGGAAAGAATGAGGTTGAGGGAGTTGAAAGTTCAAGCTCTTTATCCCAAGCCAATGTTGACTCTCTGCCCTATTTACCAGTTCTGCTGTTCTGGGCACAACTCACAACTTGAACCCAATTTTAGTAAAACAGGTCCCAGGCATCAGGTAGCTGTGGACTGCAAATCAGACAGAAAGGCACAAGGTATGGCCCGTTGTTCACGGCACATCCTTCCATTTAGTTTATGTTAACAAGCACTCACTAATATACTCTGGCCCCAAGGGGAACTGTCAGATAACAGTCCCCTGTCTTCAGGAGCTCACAACCTGACCAGGGAACCCAGCAGGTGAATGTGGAATCTGAACCCACAGAAAGACCTAGGAAGGGCAGTGCAGGTGGGTAGGAGGTCAGCAGAGCTGTGGGGCTTCCACTGTGAACTCCAAAGCCCAGGGTGGCAGTGCAAAGCACCCTCTGTAGGCTCTTCTCACTGGGCAAAGTCTTCAGATCTGGAGGTCAGTCCGCCTGCACCTTCAGGCTCAGCCTGCACCATACAGCATGAAGCAAATAGAACAAGAGGTTGGCTGCCATGAGGACGGCAGCAGCAAGCAGATGCTCTCTGCAGCCCATGCCAGTTAGAGAAGAATATAAGGAGGGGCAGAGGGAGTCCATGCCAGCCCTGGGTAGATGGGGGAAGAAGGCTTCACTGTGAAGGAGTCTCAGCCAAGGTGCCGGTTAGCCTACGCGAACTCATCATCTACTTACGGACTGACGGACGACTACCTCTGGGTGCAGAGTGCCGGCACTGAGCAGAGTCTGAGGCTACTCATGGGGCTGGAGGCTGGATCCCACCTCCTCTCTTTAGTTCTTTATTCTAAAGGCGTCCAAAGCACCTCAGACCGCAAAACAAACTTTGAACTTTCACCTCTTACCATAATGCTCCTCTTCCAACCGACTTTCTAACCTTCCTCTCACTGCCAGTGCTCCTCAGCTTACCTACCTTTGCTCAACCAATCTCTCCACTAGAATCATTTCCCAGCACCACCTCCTGGAGGCCATTCCTGCTCTGGAATGCGGAGCCTGATGAGTTACCTGACTGCTGCCCACCTCCCGAAGGTTTTGGGATCCCTCGTTTTCCTGGCACTGCGCATGCCCTGCACCTAGCGGACACTTCATAAGCCTCCGAGCAAGGTTCTGTCCGTTGCCCCAGCGCTTTTGCTGATTCCGTTTCATTGCCTGGGCAGTCCCTTCCCCCATCACACGCAGGGTCCTTCGCGATCCCCCTCCCACGCCCGCTCCTCGGGCCGGGCACTCCGCTCCGCCGCCTGGCGGACCGCTAGCCCGGCTCATAGCCGCGCCCCGCTCCGCTCACCTGCTTCTGGATGTCCCGCACGCGCTGCTCGTGCAGGCGCGGGGCGCTGCTCAGCTTGAACACCACCCAGGCGCGCACGTAGTAGTAGATGTCGAAGATGAGCGAGAGCGGCAGCAGGAAGAGGCACACGAACACCCAGCGCTGGTGGATGAGCACGAACTCCAGTCCCTTCACTCGCACCCAGAGCAGA